AGGAATATAATTTAAAAATTAAAATAGGTTTAAAATAGTGATATAACTGGCTGAGGTTTGTATTTTCCCTGTAAAGCTTTACAACTGTTTTCTAGCAACATTCTACACAAATACAACTTAACAAAAATAACCACAACAACTAAATATTATTATTTTTCAGACACTAGAACATCAGCCACAGGCCAGACTCCAGGGGCTGGTGAGACAGCTCAATAGATGAAGTGCAGGATGTGGATGTCAAGCCTAACAAGCTAGGTTGAGTCTCAGAACCCAGGTAGTAGGAGAAAATTGACTCCTGGACATTGTCCTCTGACCTCCACATACGTGCTGTGGCATGCACATCATATACACATGCACACACAAAAAAATGTAAAAGAAAAAACAATTAAGACCCCAGAAACTAGGTAGTAACTAAGTGGATAATAGTGCTTGCTGTGTAAACATGAGAATCTGGGTTTGAATTGCTAGCACTACATTAAAAGGCATGGCTGCTCCTGTCTGTAACCCCAGCATCAAGGAGCAGAGACAGGAGAATCCCTCCCAAGAGTTCACTTGCCAGCCAGCCTAGCTGAACAGTAAGATTCCGGTTCAGCATGAGGCCTGTCTCAGAGCAGTGAGACAGAATGAAACCTGCCATCTTCCTTTGACTTCCATGTGCATGAACTTGCACACATGGATACAGATACACACACACACACACACACACACACACTACATATGCATACATACACACAAACATATACACACAAACATACACACACACACACAATACATATACATACACACAAACATACACACACACAATACATATACATACACACAAACATACACACACACAAAATACATATAAACACACACAAAATACACACACACACAATACATATACACACACACACTACATACACATACATACACACAAACATACACACACACAATACATATACATACACACAAACATACACACACACAAAATACATATACACACACACAATACACACACACACACAATACATATACATACACACACACACAAAATACAAATACACACACACTTACAACACACACACACACACACACACACACACACACACAGGCTTGCATGTGGGGTGGTTCAATCTGGTCACAAAGGGTTTTCCAAGCACTAACTCCTTGACATTTGTCATTTCACCCACTCCCAAGATGGGATCAGATTAGATCAACCAGAGCACATCTCACCCCAGTGGTGAGTGAGACTACCCAGGGACAGGTGACTAATCAGTGATATCGTCAAAGAAAACTCTGAGGCAAGAGGAGAAATGGCCAGAATAAAATGAACTCACTCTGGGCATGGCACTGTTCACCAGCAATCCCAGCACAGCAGGAAAACTGTGTGCAGCACTATTTGTAATAGCCAGAACCTGGAAGCAACCTAGATGCCTCAACTGAAGAATGGATAGAGAAAATGTGGTTCATTTACAGAATGGAGTACTACTCAGCAGAAAAAAACAATGGAATCTTGAAATCTGCAGGAAACTGGATGGAACTAGAAGAAACTAT